CATTCATAGTTTTGTATACTCTGTTCGAGTAAGAACTTAGTGATTCGTCATCTAGTTAAACCAAATTTACCTGGCTCTAAGGCTAAGATCATATTTTCTTGGGCCTCTATCTTAACTAGGGGTGGAAATCGGTACGGTATCGATATCCCAATACCAAATACCAAGATACCGAACACAGAATTACATTCTAAAATCAATCCCAATCCCTAAATAATTTTGGTATCCCAATCCCAATCCCTAAATATTTCGGTATCCCAATCGGTATTATCGAATACAAAATTAATTACCTTTGTAATTAATAATTAAATATATAAATTAGATTTTGTTGTTTAATTTAGGGCAAAAATACTAAGCAAAGAGTCTTGAGTTGCCTAGAGCTAACATCTCAAGTTATTGTAATTGGTAATCTTTAATTTGACGAATTTGAGGTTGATAGACAACTAATACTAGTGTGAAATAGTGATGTAATGATCTATGTATAATTAAATGACACTTATGGTGGTTGAGGATCGTGTAGTAGTGAATGAGAAAGTCTAGTTGAGAGGATAAAATACACACTAGCTTATATGTCGGTATTTATCCGTATTTCGGTATATACCGATCCCAATCCGTAATCCCTAATACCGAATAACAACTGAAATTCAATCCTAATCCCAATCCCACAAAATAATGCGTGTATTTGGTAATACCAAATATAGAAAAATTCGGTACGGTATTCAGTATATCCCAAATACCAGTACCAAACTTCCAGCCCTAATCATAACCCTTACTTCGGAAGCGAGGTATGGTTCTATTGAAGAAGAGGTTGATTTAGGAATTTGAGGTTCCACCGGTTTAGCAAAACTTAGGCGTTCGAAATGGAAAGTAGGTGGAGAAAATTAAAACTACGCTATTGGAAATGTAAGCGGCAGGGAAGGAAAGCGTTGTGTAGTTACCGATCCCCCTAGGTCTCTGAAACGCTAAAACACAACACCAAACTCCGACCAAGTGTAATCGCAGTCCGGAAATGCAGTATAGTGGCAAGCTCTATTTGTCAACCCGGGGTCTAGATCTACTGCCTACTCCGTGGTTATCTATTATCTAGCAAACTAAGTCGAGCGATTGTGATTTTAACTAAAAGTAGTAAGAAAGCAGGAAATGGTTCAAAGTTCTTTAGCAAGGGAAGAGTCACTCGGGAATGAGTCCCCCTAGCTCCTTAGTTAGGTCAAGGTTGTAATTACCCTGGGTTGATTAACTGTTGATTAAACTGCGGAAGATCCGACAGTAACTTGGAATCTCTTAAGCTGACCAAGCCCTCTCAGGAAGACTAAACGACAGGCGACTAACCTTCACCGGATAGACTGTTGAGGCAAAAAGCACAGAACTCCACTACTGGAATTGGTTTCTAGTACAAAGCAGTAAACCGATTAACTCTCGTATAACCAATCTACCACTACCGATTCTTGAAGCTCTAACAACCTAATCAGATTCTATCTATCTCAGGTTGCAGCAGAAATTAAGAAAAGATGATCAGCTTCAATTGACTCAATGAATCATGCATCAATCGATTGTAACCAATCAGGATATCAATCCCAAGTCATTACAAGTGAGAGAAGGTTCTACTCCATAGAGAGAGAGAGAGAGAGAGAGGAAAACAAAAATCAAAGTAGTCATACTCATAAAGATGAGGATAATCTGCTCAGGGATGTTGATCTTCACTCCTGGCGATGCAATCTGGGCTTCAATGGTGAGAAATCCACTCCAAATAGCTCCTAGGGTTTGTTCTTCGCACTTTCTCTCTCTAAAGCTCTGTTTTTTGCTCAAAAACTCGATTCCATATCCTTAGGCTCAAAATTGGGTTAAAACCCAGAATTTATCGACCACACGGCCGTGTGGAATCCCAGTCTGCCCGTGTGAGCGCCAAAACGCGACGTTTCAATTAAGTGCCTCCACAAATGCTACACAGTCAGAGCTGCACGGCCGTGTAGAAAACTGGCTTGCCCGTGTGACATCCCTGGAATTTCCACACAGCCTCAAGGGACCCTGTACACGACCAGTGTGGTCTTGCCCACGTAATGGAATTCCACACGGTCATGTGGCTGCTAGGTGGTCGTGTGGTTTCCTCAGCTTCTCGCCAAACGTCCAACTTTCGTCCAATCGACCCTGAACTCGTTCCCAAACCTCCAATCACGTACTAGGACCTAAAATATCACAAACAAGAATAACCTAGCATGAAATCGGCCTAAGATACGAGAAATAAGGCTCAGACGACATAAGAATGGTGGATAAAAACATGTGTATATATCAAGTTATCAAATTCCCGCACACTTAACCGTTTGCTTGTCCCCAAGCAAACCAAGTCAGATACAACGTAAGCTCAACACATTTCAATCATACCAACTTTGGGGACAAATCATAGAGCCATAGAACACGTGAATCGTACTAGCTTTTGATCATTGACATATGGACAACTCAACAGCAACCTAGACAACCACCACAAAGGACATTCGAGTGCAGCAAAATCAGGTAAAGGAAGAGGAATCCTTTCCGTTCACCAACCAACATTGACTTGACTCAAACACTTAACCAAGACAGTCATCGCATGCATCAACCTCAAGACATCAAAATCAAGAGCGAGCCATCTAGGTCCTCACCGGGGTAAAAAGCATAAAGAACAAGGAAATGAATCGCTCACTCTCGACCAGTGGGGTCAGGATAAATTGATGCAAAAAATGCGCATGCTTATTCTCTCAAATCCTAACGTCTCTTCACCATGATGGCAGCCTCTAAATGTTAGAGTTCACACAAGGGATGTCACCACTAACTAATCCGGAGGTCTTAGACACAGGTTCAAGTGACTGGCTAGGGTCTTGGACATGGGGAAAAAGCCGTTTAGGTGGTGGAAGTATTCATAGCATTCTTTCTGCCATTCTGCATTACTCAAATTCTCTAGAGCACAAGAGCGAAGGAGGTCACAATAATGTTAGTATTTCTAATCTGGACTGCTAAGAAACACTAATTAATGAGCATGATTCAACTTTTTGGTAGTGGCTCTCTTTTGCTTTCATTCATTTTTTTCTTCTTTCCTTTTTTTCCATTTCTTGAGAGAACCACCACCTCTGCACATTTTTCAAACACACGCCCAAATTTTAAGCGTTACCTCCAACCCTCACATTATATTTAGCAGTTTCAACAGAGAACATGCAAAAAACACTCAATGGAACCTTCTAAGAGATGCAAAAGGGTGATTTTCCAGTGTAGACCGAAAGAAAGGAAAGTACACGGCTCAAAGGGTTGACTAGGGGGTATGACACATCAGGACAGTCAATTTGGTTGTGGGCTATTCCTATGCCTCCATCATCTTAGCTCGTGACATCGTGAATGCTACACATCATGGAAGAGGGATCTATCCCACAAGAAAGAAACGAGCAAGCTCAAATCTCACATGGCTACCTGTATGCTCTATCTCTCATTCTGATTCCCTGAACTAGATGCACAAACGAATGTCAAGAGCAAGTGATCAATCCAAGTCACAATTGGTAAGCAAACAGTTGAAAAACTGAACCCCTACACAACTCTACTGCATGTCTCAGTAATCATCATAGGTTGTCCTAGTTACAATCCAGTTGTCATGCATCAATTCGAAAGCCATTTGATTCACCAATCAAACCCACAGTGCCAACATGATCATGCAAACCTCAGTACTTGGAGCCCTCAAATCTCGAGATTTGGACAACGGACTATGCTCCAAGCACACATATATAGATTCCAACTAATACAAAGCACCCCCCCACACTTAAGTTCGACATTGCCCTCAATGGAGCAGAGGGAAAGATAAGGGGAACGATGTTACCGGAAGGAAAGACTGTCGGGGGACTAGAAGTGGACCAGTCAGCGGGGGATAGACACTACAAGAAATTTGACCTTAAATGACAAATTAATTTTGTTGTCATAAAATATTTGTCATATTAGGCAACTAACTATGACAAAAAAAAGACTTGTCACATTTAATTGACTATATGTGACAAAAGTTATATTTGTCATTCAAAGTTGTCATAATAGAGTTCAATTGTGACAAAGTTGTTGTTGTCATTATAATTTTGTCACTATATGTCTTATTTACCGCGGAAATACTGATACAGAATGACAAAACACCCCGTCACCTTATGGTTTGTCACATTATGTTCAAAAAATCCTATGATATGATAATATAATTTGTCATAATATGGCGTGCAGAATGAAATAAACTTTTTCATTACATTTTTTTAGAATTTCTATTTTTCGTCCACAATTCCATTCGGCGGGACTATTATTCCCCTTCCCTCCAAGACGAAAAAAACCCCCAATCCGCCTCTCTAACCCTTCAGCTCCAAGAACGGAAACCCCAATTCCATCTCCACTGCGAATTGAAAATTCCAAACCCCTCTCCCCACATCCTCTTCAGCGATTCGTCTGGGTACGTTCTCCTCCCCGCGAATCGATTGTCCGGTAAGTCTTGTTCTTCTCCTCGCCCTGGACTCCTTTTACTCTGCGATTTTGGGTTTGATTTGGGTTCCTCATGTTTCTTCTTCTATCTCTGTCGGTCATAGGCGCTCTTGCACAGGGGTAGGGCTTTCCCTCTGAATCAACAGTCTCCGATTAACCAAGTTGCAACTTTGCTTCGACGGCCTGCCTTCCCTGCCGCGAGTTCCCTCCGTCGATAATTCGAGTAAGTTTTGCCATCGAGTTCTCCTGTATTAGGGTTCTAGCAGACTCCCCCCAATTTCAATTTTGGTTAACTCTGGTGAACTCGTACTTGGTCCACGAGAGTTGGTGGTGTAAACGAAATCTTGATTGGTTTAGATCGAAGCTCTTGCGTCTATAGGGAGTCTAGACTTGTTTAGAATACTCAAAGTTTGCATCTTTTGTTTGATCCTGGGGGACTGGAAACGGTTACGAATCATGGGTTTTTGTTGAATGTGTTTTCTTGTACTCCTTTTCTGCATCCTTGGTCTCATGTGATTATGGGGATTACATTATAGGCGGAACTCAGAGCAAGTGTCTTTGAAGCGATTAAAGAGGAGGATAGGGTAGTTGAAAATGAAGAAGGCTTACCACCTGCATTACTGGGTAGCTGCAATGACCGCGCAAAGCAGCTTCACGCTTCACCATCAGGTTACTATCTAGGTTTCATTGATTGCCTTGGTACGAAATCAGGGTTGGGAAGTGGTGCACTTTCAGTTTGATATTGCTTCCTGATGAAATTGAAAAATGCTGAAATTTCTTATGCTTTACACTCAGAACAGTTTAAGTTCCATTCCTTCGTTTCTGGTGTGTCGAGGAGTTGGATAGATGCTAATAGTCTTTTATGATATGACTTCCATTCTCATATGCAGGCAGGGGATCTGGAAGGAGAGTACCAGAAAATGAGTCCTTATCTAACTTAGACTCGAGGAACATGCGGAGGCCCTCTTCATCATCTGTTGCTGGTGGTTTACCTCCTTTAGGAAGGTGCTGAGCCAGTTTTGCTTTAGCATTGTGAATCGGAATCCCCCTATGTTCTATTCATTAATTGTTTGTCATTTTTTTGGCATGCTTATCAATAAGCCGGGTGCATCATCGTCATCTGGTGAGCAATTAATCGAGCTCTTATTTTCCGTTTTCATCACCCCCTTCCTGATGGATTTTTCTGTCTATCTGGTTCTAATTCGAATTTTATCTAGACAGGAGAGAAGTTCAGCTGGAAGCAGAACTGCCAGCAGCAAAGGCAGAGGCGGAAAGTAAGACCAAGGAGTTGGAGGCCAAGCTGGTAGAGCAGGATGAGAAGATTAAAGCTCGGGATGAGGAGGTTGAAAAACATAAAGTAGAGCTTGATAGTCAACATGAACGTTTGGCTAACCAAGGGGAAAAGATGGAACAAATGCACTTGGCACAAGAGAAGATGCAAAAGAGTATGGAATCCGTCCTCGCCAAACTCAGCAGGAAATGATTGCACCAGGTACATAGCTATTATTGAATGCATGAATTTCATCTATAGAACTTAGTCAATCTATTAGGAACAATTATGCACGAATGTGAAGTCTCAATCTAGCTTCTTCTCAAATTGCAAGTGCAGGTGTGGACGCATCCCTGCACGACCGTGTGTTCATATGACTTGAGGAGGTCGTCCTTAGAGAATGTTTTCCTGAACGGATATATTTATAAGTAGATGTCGGCTGCAACCCCATTTTGGACAATATGGTTGTGTCGAACAGAATGTAGGAGTGTGTGATGTGATGCAGGAATATGATCTATTTTGCGTCTTTGTAAGCTGTGAGCTAGGACCCTGAATATTCAGCAAACAGCGTTTACTAAATGAATGTGACTGTCGGCTTGTTTTATGACATGTTTTATGTCTATTTCGCTTGTCACATTTTCTGCTTACAGGAACGAACAAATTATGACAATGTTCCATTATAATATCTCGTTTAGTCAGTTGGTTGTATTAAAGTGTGACAAAATAAGCAGTCTAATGTGACAAGATCTTTCGTCATGGTAGGACAACATATTATGACAACGATATATTGTCAAGTTGTCCGAACAATATTATGACAACCGAAAAATTAAACTTTCTCACATTAGACCTAATACGACGGGGCAAAGCTGATAAAGCCATTTTGTCATAACACTTGTCACATTAGACAAAAAGTGACAAAATGGCACACTAAAATGACAAATTGGGTGCGTCACAAAATACCTAATTTCTTGTAGTGAGACGGAACAACGAAACTATTTTGCACGAAGGGAACATAAAGAACACACTAGCATACTGTGCGTTATTGATCAGAGTTAGCCCAGATGGCCACAAAACAGACAATCCACAAAAGAAAGAAAAAGAAAAAACACACAAAAGACTCAGTTCAAGCTCCTCACACACATGGAGCAACAAGAAAAAAGCCAAAACAAAACAAAACACACTCGAAGGGGCGACGAGTACAGACTACTCGTCGCCAAGGTTATCAAGGTCTATGTCGTCCATAAAGGCATCATCACTGGCTGGCGGGGGTGGAAGTGGAGAGTCCTCCCAGGGAGTCCTCCAGAATGGCTGCTCGCCCCGTATCAATTGGAGCAGGTGCTGTTGGACCTCCTGCATACGCCGAGCCTGGCCATGCTCCCTCTCGATGTGGGCAAGGGTCACCCCCTGCTGGGCCTCCATGCGGTCGAGGAGCTCATCATATGTAGCCATCCGGGTGTTATACTCGGCCTGGTGAGCCGAGTACTACTACTAGAACTGGAGATGATGGTCGAGGAGCTACTGATTTTGGAGATTCAACTGCTGGAACTGGTGAGTGAAGTAGTCCTGGTCTGGTAAGGGGCGGTGTGGGCGGTTGTAGTGTCCACATCATCGGGGTGGACATCCTCAATGACAGCATCCTCAGGAACTATGGGCTGATCCTCCGTGGGGAGGGGTGGAGCAGGAAACCCCTCAATCCACTTGACGCCATGCTCAACTCACAGCAGGTGCATCTTCGAGATCGTGTCTTCTCCGAAGACACAAGTGTCCCCCTGCTCTGTGCAATCCTGATATGGGATCTGGAAATAGGCTGCCAGGCGGGGGATGAGTGGGGTGCAGTGGAGGGTCCCCAGAGTAATAGCACTCTTGTCCAGAGTCCTGGCCATCACAGACCCCAGGTGGAGATCATGGTTCGCCGTGCGGATGGAGTGGATGAAGTACATGGACCGCCTAGTCAGGGTGCTGGCACTTTCCCTAGCTGGAGTGAAGGACTTCGCTAGCATGTGGTGGAGAATGCGGTTATCAAGCTGCAAGGTGCTAGCCTTCGTCCGCCCTGCATGGAAGGGGACCTGACCGGGCTGAGCTAGCCGGGTGTACAACACCTTGAAGGAAACATCGTCAGGATTATTGAGCTCTTTGACATAATCCTCGTCATCGTCCATGTCGAGGTCGAGAGTGACCGCCAAATCATGGTAGCTCATGGAACGGGGCTCACCGCCTAGCCTGAACTTGACGGCTTTGTTGTCCGCCCAGTCGGTTGTCTCTTCATGCCGAAAGGTCTTATAGAACTCGAGCACCAGCTCGTGGTAGACCTTCTCGCGGATATACAATAGCCGGCACCATGCGCGGTTGGCGGCAATAGCAAGGAAGTGCTCATAGCAATGCAGCTTCTCAAACTCCCCCATGGACCAATAGTGATGCCTCCCAAACTTAGATGCCAGGACGCTCTTAAAGCGATCCTTGTGGGGGCCCCTCTTCAAATGCCGGATGAACCGATGCTTGAGATTAGGTTTCGACATGGTCCTGCAAGAAAGCAAACCAAAGTGGAGCCAAAAGAGCCATAGTAACGGTCAATCACACCCCCACAATTGATAATAGAAAACAGCCGAACCATAGTTTCATCCAAAGTTTGGGGTTAATAACTCGAGCAAACAAGCACAATCTGGTTGGGGGTGCACATCCTCAATAAATTAGACAATTTATGGTTCACATCCATAGCAAATACACCATAAAAACACATCATTAAGGGCCCCAACCGGCTCCCACAAAATGGTATGAAAAGCTGGCATTTCATCGAACACCTTGTATGCACTTTTAAGTTAAGCATAGAATGGGCAAATTCCTAGCACACAAGGGCTCAATCAAGCAAGGGAAACATTGCCCAACATAATCCACACATAATCCAAGCCTTCCCCTCAATCAATTTCAATCAATTCACACTTTTGAAAGCGGTTCTCTACAAGTACACCCTAACACCCAATTCTTCACAAATCACAAGGTAAAAGGTAAAATCAAACCTGGAGACACAAATAGAGGTGTCGGGGATGATGAGGGGAAGGCAATGGAAGCGACGGAAGCCCGAAAATGCTCGGCAGAGCCTCGCCAGAAATCGCCTCCGGCGACCCAAATCTGGTCCAAATCGCCTCAAAATGAAGGGATAGGCCGAAAAAGAGGGGAGGAGATGGAATATGAGGTTGGTTTTGTGAAAACCCGACAAAAAACAGCGGAAAACTGCAAAAAATTTGAAAAGGCTCGATTTTCCGGCGAGGGGAGAGGATTCCGGTGAGGGAAAGTTAATTTTCTATCCAACGCGGTCGTGCAGGCCAAATTTATAGGCGCGCGGGTCGCCACACGGCCGTGTGGAGCGGTTTTTGCCCGTGTGGCGTCGAGGAATCCACACGGGCTGGCCGAGAGATTCACACGGCCGTGTAGCGGTCCCCATCTGCCCGTGTGGGATTTCCAGGGGCTTCACACGGCCAAAGGGGAATTCCACACGGCCGTGCAGAATTTCGGCCTGGCCGTGTGGAATTCCAAAGTCCCGGTTTCAACCCGTTTTCACGCAAAATCGACATCTGAACCTTGGACAACACCTCAAGACTCAAAAACACAAAAATTAAAAAGAAAAAAGGAAAGGAAATGCAAATCTAGGTGGGGTTGCCTCCCCACAAGCGCTTATTTACCGTCTTTTAGTTGGATGCCAGTAGAGGAACTAAGGGTCCTCGAGCTTGAACAACAGCTCTGCGTGTCGACACCTCCCAAGTACAACTTTAAGAGGTGGCCGTTCACTTTGAACGGCTCAGTTTGAGCATTGCTTATCTCCACCGCACCGTGCGGGAAAACTTGGGTGACCGTGAAGGGTCCCGACCTCCTCGAACGTAGCTTGCCCGGAAAGAGTTTCAGGCGTGCATTGAAGAGCAGAACATGATCACCTACCTGAAACTCCTTCGGGCCCCTCTACCGAGTGCCGTGGAGACGCTTGGTTCGCTCTTTGTAGAGCAGGGTGTTCTCGTAGGCATGGTAACGCCATTCCTCCAACTCCAGCAGTTGCAGCTTCCGTTCAGTACCTGCAACAAACAAATCCAGATTTAGCAGCTTAAGGGCCCAAAAGGCCTTGTGCTCTAGCTCTACCGGCAAGTGACATGCCTTCCCATATACAAGCCTATAGGGTGAAGTACCGATCGGGTTTTTGTAGGCTGTCCTATATGCCCAAAGAGCATCATCGAGCTTGGTGGATCAATCCTTGCGGGACTGATCCACTGTCTTTTCAATTATTCTTTTAAGCTCCCGGTTCGTGAGCTCGGCTTAACCATTTGAATGGGGATGGTAGGCCATCGACACCTGATGCTTAACGCCATAGTGAGAGAAGAGTTTAGTGAATTGCCCTTGAAAATGGGTTCCTCAATCACTAATGAAGGTGCCAGGTGTCCCGAACCGGGAGAACAACTACTTCAGAAATGAGCAGACCCATCTTGCATCATTGGTGGGCATGGCTTGAGCTTCTGTCCACCTCGAGACGTAGTCCACTGCAGCCAGTATGTACAAATGTCCAAAGGATGGAGGGAATGCGCCCATGAAATCGATGCCCCAAACATCATCCCGGGAGGAAATGTTTCCTGACCTTTGACAGCGGTCGCACTGTCGTGCGAAGGTGTCTGCATCTTTGAAGAGTGAGGGCCAATAGAAGCCCGACTGTAGCACCTTCCGCGTCGTGCGGTTCCTCCATGGTGACCTCCAGTAGGTCCCTC